AAGCCTCAGACCTTCAACTCTATCCATGCCATTCACAATCTTATAAACTTATAGCAGGTTCATCCCTCAATGTCCTGCATTCCAGTGAAAACACACCCAGTCTGTCCAACCTCTCTTCACAGCTAAAAGCCCCCATACCAGACAACATTCCGCTAACTTTTACTGTACCCTCTCCAAAGCATCCACATCCTTCTGGTAATGTGGTGACCAGAACTGTATGCAATATTCCAAGTGTGGCCGAACTAAAGTTCTATAAAGCTGCAGCATAACTTCCCTATCTTTATACTCAATGTCCCTTCCAATGAAGGCAGCATGTTTTTAAGGTCTTAGCAAAAATTTGTAGCTCAGGTTGTGATGCAGTTGTTCATTAGCTTGCCGAGCTGGTTGTACTGTGGTCTGCAGACATTTCGTTACCCTTCTAGGCAACATCATCAGTGTGACCTCCAATTGAAGTGTTGGTGTTCTGCTTACTTTTGGATTTATATGATCCTCTGGTGCGATGGTCTTGTTGCTTCCAGTTCTGTTGTTTTAGCAGCGATCTTTTTATGGAGTCTATTTCTGTGTGTTTGTTAATGGAATCCCATGTTGAGAACCAGGCTTCCAGAACTTCCCTTGCATGTCTGGTGTTCATTTGTCCTAGGATGGTCACTTTGTCCCAATTGAACTGATGGCCCTCGTTGTCTGTGCATATTGAGACAAGTGAATATTGGTTTTGTCTTTTTACTACCAGTTGCTGTTTGTGTATCTTTGTCATCAGTTTCCTCCCTGTTTGTCCAATGTAATGTTGCTACATAGTATTCTGTATATCACGTTGGTCTTGTTTACTGTCGGTATGGGGTCTTTAGTCTTTGATAACATTTGGCGCAGTGTTGCTCCAGGTTGTGTGCAATCATGATCTTACACGATCTTAGGAGCCTGGTAATCATTTCTGGTATATTTTTGATGTAGAGTAGCATTGATCGTGTCTTTTGTTGTACCGTGTCCTCTGACTATTGTTTGTTTTGTTGGCATCTGTGGATGAAACTTCGTGGGTATTGGTTGTTGGTGATAACTTTGTGTAGGTGTTCCTCTTCCATTCTCTGGTGTTCTGGGGTGTTGCAGTGTAATGCAGCTCATTTAAATAGTGTTTTGATGCAGCTCTGTTTGTGTATTGTAGGGTGGTTGCAATTGAAGTTAAGGAATTGGTTCATGTGTATGGCCTTCCTGTATACTCGAGTCCGGAATTCACTGTTAGTCTCTACCATTACGTTCTGAGGCAAGCATGCCATAAACCATTTTTACTACCGTATCTACCTGCGCTGCCACCTTCAGTGATCTGTGGACCTGCACATCCAGATCCCTCTGTACATCATTTCCACCAGCCTCTGGAAGAAAACACATTTCCTCACATCACCTCTGAACCTTCTGCCCCTTACCTTAAATTTTTGATCCCTCCATGAAGGGAGAAAGTTCCTGCCGGTCTACTATTTCTAAGCCCCTTGTCATTTTAGACATTTCAATCATGTCCCCTCTCTCTCCTCTGGTCTGAGGAATACAACACCATACTATCCAATCTATCTTCAATGGCTGAATCTCTCTAACCTGCACCCCATCCTGATAACTCCTGCAATTTCCTCAAATTCGAAACAGAATGACTGTTTTGGATCGTTAACTTTTCAATCTGCATTATGGAAATTGGAATGGTGACAAAATCTGTGATTCACAGATTGTCTTTCCAAACTGATGCTCAAAATCTGCACTCAATCACCAGAACAACATGTTTGCTCACAACCTCCACTGACAATTACACATACTCTTTCACTTTCTCCATCTCTTTCCCTTGCTCACTGATTGGAGAATCACAATGTTATTATAGAGCAGAAGGAGCCCTATCATGTCTGCAGAGGTTCAATTATATAGTCCCAATCTCCTGCCTTCTCCCCATATCCCTGTAAACTATGACTTTCCAAATGATCATCCAATGACCTCTCGAGTGCTTCAATTGAACCCATATCCACCACACGTAAAAGCAAGTGTAAGGAGGTCATGGATCAGTTATCAAGGATAGTGGTGTGACTGCATCTGGAGTACTGTGTACAGTACTGATCCCCATACTTACAGAAATATGTTAATACACTGGAAGCAGTTCAGAGAAGGTCTGCTGGACTAATACCTAGAACGAGTGGATGACCTTTTGATGAAAAGCTAGACAGGGCTGAGTCTGTATTCTCTAGAGTTTAGAACAGTCAGAGGCAACTAAATTGAAATATATATGATCCTGAGGGAATGTGACTGGATGGATATGGAAAGGATGTTTCCTCTTGTAAGAGAATCTAGAACTAGGGGTGACAGTATAAAAAAATGATGGTGCGCACATTTACAGCAGAGATGAGGAAACAGTTATTTTTTTCTTGGACACCTGTGAGACTTTGGAACTCCCATCCTCAAAATGGAGCCAATGCAGAATATTAAGTATTTTTAAGGCAGAGGTAGATAGAGTCTTGATGATCAAGGGGATGATAGATGATTGGGAATATGCAGGAGTGTAGCTTTGAGGTTTGATTCAGATTGGCTATGATAAGGTCAGAGAGGAAACATCACAGAACAGAGATATTGATGTGTGGAATACAAACCAAAAAAACCCCTGTGCAAACATCAACAGTATTAAAATCTTCTGAAATATGATCCATCCACACACCAAGATTACTTTCCAAAAAAAAAGGTTTACTCACATTTAATTAAACATCATCAGCCGAACAGGACTTACCAATGATCACACCCAAAACTGGATGAATTTGGAGCTGACAATCATTTCTGAATGACATTTTTCCACAATCCCCATCCTGTTCAGTTGTTTTGTACAGTGGACACAACAGCTCACAATCTAATACACGGCCATGATTCGCCAACTCGGCTCAATCGGCCTTATTTTCGGGGCAAACGATTTTGCCCTTCTCCGAAATTCCTAGCAGCTTTTTGATTAAAAAAGACATCTAAAACCACAAGAGCACATAAAAAGCCAGGTTGGAAAATTTGGACCTTGAGTGTATTCCTGCTGGTGAGGCTGTGAACTGTTGCCATCATGAGGCAGCTCGTGCAAAGGATTCATTTGCAAAAGCTAACGTATAAACAGTTAAAAAAAACAGTAAACCAATATTCTGGGCTCTGTGTCTGATGTGACAGTCTCTAATATGCAGCCCAAAGCTGTATAAGACCATCAGAGCAGAAGTAGGCCTTTTTGACTGTCTGGTCTGCTCCATCATTCAATATGATCCAAGGTGATTTGATAATTCTTTGCGGAAGGATGTTCTGACGATTGAGGGAGTGCACTGATCCCTGGGATGGCAGGATTGATGTATGATGAGAGGCTTGATTGGTTAGGATTATATTTACTGGAGTTTTGAAGAATGAGGGAAGCATCTCACAGAAATCCATCATTCTAACTGGATGAGACAGGGTAAACACAGGAAGGATGTTTCTGATTACCGGGCGGGGGAGGCCAGAACCGGGGGAAAACAGTCTAATGATATGGGGTAGGACTGAGATGAGGAGAAATGTCTTCACCAGGACAGTAGGGAGCCTGTGGAATTCTCTGACACAGAAAGCGGTTGAGGTGAAAACATTGAGTCTCACTATGATCCCGTACTGCCCCACATCATACACATTCTCCTCAGAACCTTACTTTCTATTATCTTGATGTTACACAATTTCTGAACCCAGAAGTTAATTTTATTTGGAGTAGTGCCACTCGGGGTCATGCTTTTTTAAAATTCATGTATGTAATGTGGGCATTGCTGGCTAGACCAGCGTTCATTGTCAATCTTCGGCCATATTGTTGTGGGTCTGGAGTCACGTGTAGGCCGGACCAGTAAGGATGGCAGTTTCCATCCCTAAAGGACGTGATTGACCCATAGGAGTTTTTGACCCTGACAATCAATTCATGGTCATCATTAGACTTTTAATTCCAGAATTTTTTTTAAAATTGAAATCAAATTCCATCATCTGCCAGGAAGGGAATCGAACCCAGTTCCCCAGAGTTGTACATCAAGGAAGCAGACTCTTTGGTCCGACTCGTCCAGGCCGACCAGATATCCTCACCTGATCTAGTCCTATTTGCTAGCATTCGGCCCATATCCCTCTAAACCAATCCTTTTCATAAACTCAACCAGACGCCTTTTAAATGTTGTAACTGTAATAGCCTCTACCACTGACTCTGGCAGCTCATTCCATACATGCACCACCCTCTGTGTAAAAATGTTGCTCCTCAGGACCCTTTTAAATCTTTACCCTGTCACCTTAAACCTATACTCTCCAGTTTTGGACTCCCCTATGTTGTGAAAAATAACTTCGCTATTCACCCTTTCCAAGCCCGTCATGATTTTATATAAACCTCTGTAGGTTTTTAACTTAACTCCAATGATGTCTGACACATAAACACATGCACCAGCTGAGTATGTACTGGGGTTAGCAACTGCCCCGGGGATGAGCTTCCAACATTGAATTTCCAAAAATAGGGAGTTTGAAAACCAACCAGAAAAATAGACAGATAATATTCCAGGCAAACATTCCTACAAAGTTGACAATCACAAGACTCCATTCTAAAACGATGAGACTGCCACTGTGCGAAGGGAAACCATGCAAAACACACCGCATGCAGCCCTGCTGATTGGCCTGTAGCTCAGACTTCGCTCATCACGGACTGAGTGGCGATCAGGACATCCGGTGTGGATGGGAAGATGCCAGAAGTTCGGTCATGTACCTTCTGAGAATGCAACTGAGCGATCCTGAAAAAGAGACAGAGGAGTTCCATTATATAAAAAACTGAGGCTTAAAACATTCCACTTTTTGTTTCATATTCACTCACAGGATGTAGGCGTCTCTGGTAGACCAGCATTTATTGCCCATCCTTAATTGCCCAGAGGGCAGCGAAGAGTAAACCACATCGCTGCAGGTCTGGAGTCTCATGCAGGCCACACCAGGTAAGGATGGCAGTTCCTTTCCCCAAAGGAATCCCGATGGGATTTTCACCAACAAACGAAAAGGTTTCACGGTCATCATTAGGCCCTTAATTCTAGATTTTTTCTTGAATTCAATTCATTTTGATTCAAATTCCGCCATCTGCCACGGCGGGATTCAAACCCAGATCCCTAGGATATTGGCTGAGTTTCTGGATTGAAAAATCTAGGGATAATACCATGAGGTCATCCCTTCCCCATCAATTAGATCAGCTCTCCTGGTTTAATTGGAAACCAGAACCAGAACTGGTGGAGTAGCAGGTAGTGAAAGGGACTGTCAGAGAATGCAGCAGAATATAGATAGATTGGAGAGTTGGGCAGAGAAATGGCAGATGGAGTTCAATCCAGGTAAATGCAAGGTGATGCATTTTGGAAGATCCAATTCAAGAGCAAACTATACGGTAAATGGAAAAGCCCTGGGGAAAATTGATGCACAGAGAGATCTGGGTGTTCAGGTCTATTGTGCCCTGAAGATGGCAACGCAGGTCGATAGAGTGGTCAAGAAGGCATACGGCATGCTTTCATTCATCGGATGGGGCATTGAGTACAAGAGTTGGCAGGTCATGTTACAGTTGTATAGGACGTTGGTTCGACCACATTTGGAATACTGCGTACAGTTCTGGTCGCCACATTACCAAAAGGATGTGGATGCTTTGGAAAGGGTGCAGAGGAGGTCACCAGGATGTTGCCTGGTATGGTGGGCACTAGCTATGAAGGGAGGTTGAGTAGATTAGGATTATTTACATTAGAAAGACGCAGGTTGAGGGGGGACCTGATTGAGGTCTACAAAATCATCAGAGGTATAGACAGGGTGGATAGCAAGAAGCTTTTTCGAAGGGTGGGGACTCAATTACTAGGGGTCACGACTTCAAGGTGAGAGGGGAAAAGTTTAAGGGAGATATATATGGAAAATTCTTTACGCAGAGGGTGATGGGTGCCTGGAACGCGTTGCCAGTGGAGGTGGTAGAGGCAGGCACGATAGTGTCATTTAAGATGTATCTGGACAGATACATGAATGGGCAGGGAGCAGAGGGATACAAATCCTTGGCAATAGGCGACAGGTTTAGATAGAGGATCTGGACTGGTGCAGGCTTGGAGGGCCGAAGGGCCTGTTCCTGTGCTGTAATTTTCTTTGTTCTTTGCTCTTTGTAAAGAGCAACAAATGATCAGATCGGCAGTGTTTCTGTTTGTGTCCCTATTTATTTGTCTCTTGGTCAACTTGTTCATTAGTGTAGGAACGTAAGAAACAGAAGCAGGAGTCGGCCATTTAGCCCTTCAGGCCTGCTCTCTGATTCAATATGATCGTGGCTGATTATCCAACTGTTCCCGCTTTCTTCCCGTAGTCTTCGATCCACTTAGCTCCAAGAATTCAATCCAACTCTTTCTTCCAAACATTCAATAAGGAGTTTGATAACAGTCAATGTTTTGGCCCCAACCGCTTTCTGTGACAGAGAATTCCACAGGCTCCATCCTCTCTTGGTGAAGACATTTCTCCTCATCTCAGTCCTACCCCATCTCCTTTAAACTGTGACTCCCTGGTTCTGACTCCCCATACACAGCCCAGTCATCAGGAACATCCTTCCTGCAGTTACCCTGTATCATCCTGTTAAAATTTCATAAATATATATGAGATATCCCCCTCACTCTTCTAAACTGCAGTGAATATAATCCAACCAATCTTCATATGTCAGACCTGCCATGCCAGAAATCAGTCTGGTAAATCATTGTTGCACTCCCTCCATCGCCAGAACATCGTTCCTCAGGTAAGGAGACCAAAACTGTACACAATACTCCAGGGAGTGGACTCACCTTGTCCAACTGCAGCGAGACATCCCTGCTTCTGCACTCAAATCCTAAACACGATAAAGGCCAACATCCCATTGGCCTTCATCACCTTATTGCTGCTTCTGCAATGTTGACTTTCAGCGACTGATGTATGAGGGACACCCAGGTCTCATTGCACCTCACCCCCACTTTCCCAATCTATTGCCGTTCAGGTACTAATCCACCCTTCACGTTTTTGCTCACAAAGTGTATAACCTCATGTCATTTCACGTTATATAATGCATTTATAAGTGAGTCACCTCTTAAAATGATGAAACCGGACAGTGTAGCTGAAAAGGTAATTGCGTGCCGAGATTGTTCATGTTTGATGGCAGTTAATCCGATGACTGTCTAATTGTCAATAAATAATGTTTGATTGCTGCCACAGGCCAGTTCTCTCTTTCAGAAGATTTGAGCGTGAATTCACTGCCCGTGTTTTTCATCCACATTCTCAGAGCGAGATCGGGCAAAGTCGACCGCTCCCCCTGCCTGTCTTTTGTCTTTTAGGGCTTGCCCGACCTCTTACCTGAATGACACTTAACTTTTCAAGTGGACTCTCCACACACGGGAGTGCGAGCTTCACACAGACCGGTTCCCGCACGTTCCTTGGATTCTCCTGGGATGAATTCAGGCTCTTAAAGTTATGCAGAACACAGCACACCTGCAAGAGATTATTGGAACAGCCTTAAATCTTACAGTTCCTAAACAAAGGATATTACTGGGCCCGTTCACAAAAGGAAAAAAATAAAAACAGACTCAAGGGCTCTCTTGTGGTGCAGAAAAGAAAATAGAACTTACAGCTCTTACTGTCACTGGAAAATTGCTGGTACCAATTTCATACTCCTAATGTCTTTAAACATTCAACAGCAAACAATTCTTACCATACTGAGTGGGATTCTGTCCCTTTTTATACTGCACCCTGCTGAAGAGTGCGACAACGTATCACTGGAAAGCCTTCTTGCCTGCTCTGTCCTTCAATCTGATCATGCCTTTTAGCTCAATGCTATATTCTTGCTTTCCTCCCACATACCCCTCAATGACTTTAATATTCAAATCCTTACTGATCTCGTTCTTGAATACACTCAGTGACCTGGCCTTTTGTGGCTGAGATTTCCACAGGCCAACCACTGTCTTCAGTGAAGAAATAAGAAGTAGGCCATTCAGCCCATCAAGTCTACTCACCATTCAATGAGATCCTAGCTGATCTGCTTGTCCTCAGCTCCATTTTCCTGATTTAATTTCCCTCCATAACCCATGATCCCCTTACTGATTATAAAAAGGTCTGTCTATCTCAGCCTTGAATATACAGAATGACAGTATAAAATTGGGGATAGAATTCGACGGGGGGTGCAAGAACAGAGGGTGTTTATGTGCATAGATTGTTGAAGGAAGCAGGATGAATGGACAGACCAGTTAATAAGGCAGATGGTGTCCTCAGCTTAAATAACAGGGACACAGAGTACAAGAGCAGGAGGAGACGTTGAACTTGCACAAGATACTTGTTAGATCTCAGATGGACTACTGTGTACATGTGTGGGCAACACATTATAGGAAAGATGTGAACACATTGGAGAGAATGCAGAAGCAATTTACAAGAATGGTTCCAGGAATGAGAATTTCAGTTCTAAGTATAGATTGAAGAAGCTGGGACTGTCCTTCTTGGAGAGGAGAAGGCTGGGAGGGAGGACGGAGAGATGTTTGTCAAAATCATGAGCAGCCTGAATAGAGTCGATAGGAAGAAGCTATTCCTGTTTGTAAAAGGAACAAGAATGAGAGGGGATAGGTTAAAAGTGATGTGCAAAAGAAGCAAGGACAATGTGAGAAAAACCATTTTTACCCAGTGAGTGTTTTAGATTGTGGAATGCACTGCCTGGAAATGTGGTGGAGGCAGGTTCAATTGTGGCATTGGAGAGGGGCATTGGACGGGTATTTCTATAGAAATGGTGTGTAAGGAAACAGGGAGAAGGCAGGCAATTGGGCACTAGGGGGCTAGAACTGGGGTGCAGGCACGATGGGCCTCCTTCTGTCCTGTGACAATTTTGTGATTCATTGGTCTGAGCTCGCATGGAATTTTAGGAAGCTGATCATGAGAGAATCGAGTGGGTCGGATCTCAAGCAATGAGACAGAGTACAGGAAAGAGATAGACGGCTTAGTGCTGTCAAGACAACCATCTGTCCCTCAATATCAGAAGCCAAAGGAGCTGATCGTGGACCTCAGGAAGTGGAGTGGAGGACATGCCCCTGTGTGTATCAATGGTGCTGAGGTGGAGATGGTAAAGAGCGTCAGTTTCCAAGGAGTAAATATCACCAACAATCTATCCTGGTCCATGAACCAATGCCTCTTCTTCAGGAGGCTAAGGAAATTCTGCATGCCTACAATGAACCTTACCAATTTTTTTAGATGGTATTCTGTCCGAATGCATCACAGCTTAGTATGTCAACTGCTCTGCTCAAGCTGCAAGAAATTACGGAGAGCTGTGAATGCAGCCCAGACAATCACAAAAACCAGCCTTCCTTCCACTGACTCCATCTATACTTCCCACTGCCTCAGGAAAGCAATCAACATAATCAAAGATCCTTCCTTCCCATTATACTCTCTTCCAATCTCTTTTACTGAGCAGAAGATATAATAGTTTGAAAACGCATATCAACAGATTCAAAAACAGCTTATTCCCTGCCGTTATCAGACTTATGAATGGACTTCTCTCATATATTAGAGTTGATCTTTCCCTGCACCTTCTCTGTAGTTGTAACACTATATTCTACATTCTGTTCTGTTTCCCTGATGTACTTATGTAAGGTATGATTTGTCTGGATAGCAAGTAAAACAATACTTTTCACTGTATCTTGATACATGTGACAATAACAAATCAAATTAAGTCAGCATCACTCAGGTCAGTGGTTGGTCAGTTTTGGCTTCATGCCCTGGGTCTTCCAAGACACATCCTGACAGGAATTCCACAGCCTGCCACTCACCAGAAACATTGCCACTGCCCCACCGGTGAGGAATCCCACCAGGACGTCGGACCAGTGGTTCCGAAACTCCGACACGCGCACCACTCCAGTTAAAAAGGTCAGGCACAGGAGCGAGAGGCAGAGCATGGGCTTGGTCAGACGTGTACCCTTGGCTTGGAACATAATTGTGACATACATCTGGGAAAACAAACATGCACATTTCACGTTAAGGGCGAGAGAAAGGGATTGAACATTAAGAAATATCAAAATAAGTTAGCCAGGCCTCTCAATGAGATAATGGCCTATCTTTGTGCTCAGTACCATTTTCGCTCATTCCCCTGCCCCATAGTCTTTGATTCCTTTAGCCCCATGAATAATATCTTACCTCCTTCCTGAAAAAGAGTCAATGTTTTGCCTTTCAACCACTTTCTGTGGCAGAGAATTCCTCAAAGGTTTCCCAGATGGACCCCAACGCAGGAAGAGATGGTTTTGAAGAATGAATTGTGGGGGGATCTTATAGAAGCCTACAAAATTCCACCAAGACTAGACATGGTAAACATAGGAATGTCATTATCACGTCAATTTCACCGTGCTTCGCCCGTAGGTCTCTAAGATTTTAGAGTAGATTTGTAGCTCGGGTTGTGGATGTTGTGGTTGGTTGGCTCACTGAGCTGGTTCGTTGTTCCGCAGATGATTCATTACCCTGCTGTGTAACATCATCAGTGCAGCCTCCGATGAAGTGCCATTTTGTTTGGCCGCCTGTTATTTGAACTCTGGTGTCCTTTGAGCTAGATTACCTCACTTCCAGTTTTCCTTCGCAATGGAGTGTATATGGGGTCGAGCTCGATGTGTTTATTGATGGCTTTCTTCCTGGAATACCAGGCTTCTAGGAATTCCTGTGCTTGTCTCTGCTTTGCTTGTCCCAGGATCATGGTGTTGTCCCAATCGAATTGGTGGTTCTCCTTATCCATGTGGATAGAAATGTTGCGTGAGAACATTATTTAAAAGGGCAACAGCACAGTGCAGCAGTACAGAGCTAGGCCAAAAAGAAGAAAAGTAATTCTTCCAGGTTTTCAAAGACAATAGATACCTGAAAAACTGGGTCAGAAGATGCCTATCACACGAACAACACCAGGAAGATACTACACTCCCGACATACTCATCACGCTACCCTACATCAGGAATACATCTGAACTGACCACAAGACTCCTACGGCCACTGGGCACCAGAGTAGCACACAAACCCACATCAATTCTTCGCTAACTGCTCACCCGAACCAAAGACCCACTACTCACTATAGACAGGACCAATGTCATACACAAGATTCCCTGCAGAGACTGTGACAAACACTACATCGGACAAACAGGAAGGAAATTAACAACAAGTGTACAAGGATATCAATTGGCTACAAAAAGACACAACAAATACTCACTCATCTCTACCCACATGGATAAGGAGAACCACCAATTCAATTGGGACAACACCAGGATCCTGGGACAAGCAAAGCAGAGACAAGCATGGGAATTCCTAGAAACCTTGTGCTCCACTAGGAAAGCCATCAATGAACATATAGAGCTCAACCCCATATACACTCCATTGCGAAGGAAAACCAGAAGTGGGGCAATCCAGCTCAACGGGCTCCAGAGTTTAAATAACAGGCAGGAAAACACAACGGCGCTTCATCGGAGGCTGCACTGATGATGTCATGCAGCAGGGTAATGAAACGTCTGTGGAAAAGCAACGAACCAGCTCAGTGAGCCAACCAACCACAACAGGAAGGACATTCCTAATGTCTGCGAGGGGAGCCCAGAATCAGGGGTCACAGGCTAAGGACACGGGGTAGGGCTAAGATGAGGAGAAATGTGGTGCAAAAACAATTTACAGCGACGTTACCAAGATTGGAAGATTTGAGTTAGAAGGAGAGGCTGGATAGAACATAGAACATAGAACAGTACAGCACAGGCTCTTCGGCCCACGATGTTGTGCCGAACTTTTACCTGAACTTAATAGGCTGCGACATTCTTCCCTGGAACATAGGGGTGAGGGGTGACCTTATAGAGGTTTATAAAATCACGTGGGGCAGAGATAAGGTGAATAACAAAGGCCTTTCCCCCAGTGTAAGGGAGTCCAAAACTAGGGGGGGTAGGTTTAGACGAGAGGGGAAAGATTTAAAAGAGACCCGAGGGGCAACTTTTTCACACAGAGGGTGGTTCATAGATGAGCTGCCAGAGGAACTGGTAGAGGTGAGTACAATTACAACATTTAAAAGATACTTGGACAGGTATGTGGACAGGAAAGGTTTAGAGGGATATGGGCCAAACGAAGGATAATGGGGCTACAGGTAGTTCAGTTTGGGAAACCTGATCAGTGCGGATGAGGTGGGCTGTAGGGCCTGATCCCATGCTGTAAGACTCTATGACTCAAAAGTCTTCACCCACAGAGTGATGAGCATGTGGAATTTTCTGCCACAGAAAGCAAGCACAAATGCCACTGTTACTGTTAAGATAAAAAGATTATTTCATGAGATGAGCTTGCCCCTGTGTTGGCCAGTGTTTATTATCCAGCCCTGAATTTCCTGCACCACCCCGCCCCACCTTTCTCTTTCAGTGTGCAATGTAATCCTGAGCACTGTTTGCACGGCCCCTGTCAGATGTAGTCAGGGATTTTGGCTCAGACCCTGCTCTGATTATCAAACAAGGAGTTGGAGTAGGCCATTCGATCCACCTTGCCTTCAAGAAGATCTACAGCTGATCCACCCCAGGCCTCGACTCCTCTTCCATGGCTGCCCTCAGCTTACTTGATTGTTCAAGAGTCTATCTTGCTCCTCTTCCGATACTTTCATTGATCTAGCCTCCACAACTATCTGGGGTTCATAGAATCATAGAATCCCTACAGTGTGGAAATAGGCCATTTGACCCAACAAGTCCATACCGCCCCTCTGAAAAGCATCCAACCCAGACCCAATCCCCTACCCCTGCATTTCCCATGTCTAACCCACCTAACGTAAACATCCCAGAACACTATGGGCAATTTAGCATGGCCAATCCACCTAGCCTGCACATCGTTGGACTATGGGAGGAAACCAGAACACCTGGAGGAAACCCAAGCAGACACAGGGAGAATGTGCAAACTCCACACAGACAGTCACCCAAGGCTGGAATCGAACCCAGGTCCCTGGTGCTGTGAGGAAGCAGTGCTAACCACTGAGCTACTGTGTTGCCACTGGAGAGGTTGAAAGTCCGGGCTTTCACTCCCCTCTTGGGGAAGAAGAAATTCCTTTGCATCTCTGATTTACGAGTCTTGAAACATTGTCCTCTCTTTTGAGACTCCTCCACCTGGGGCAAATATTTCCTCAACATCCACACTGTCATGATCCCTGCCCCAGGTGTTGTCGGTTTCCATAAGATCACCACTCATTCTCCTAAACTGGAACAAATGAAAGCCAAACCTGTTGTTCAAACCAGGAACAAGCCTCTTTCAAACAGCTTCCGATGCCAATAAACCCTTTCTTAAAATATGGGGACAAAAACTGTGCACAGAACCTCTGGTTGCCACCTCACTATCACCCTGTGCTGTTACAAGACTTTCTAGTTTTGAAATTCCAAGTCTCTCAGAATAAAGGTCAATATTCTAGTTGCCCTCTTTAACCTATTTTTCTCATCAACCTATTCAGAGATATTATTACACATCTCTGGAGCAGGTGGGAGTTGGGCCTGGGACTCCTGGTCCATAAGTGTGTAATAATACTTTACCACAAGACAGCCCCCTTGGGTACGCTTTCTTTTTAATTTTTTAAAGATTTATTTATTTATTGAATCAGCCTGATCAGAGATATTTTGACACATCTATGGAGCAGATGGGGATCCTGTTGCCTTGTTAACTACTGCTGCATTCGCATGCTGACATTTCTTTGCAAAAGAACTTCCAGATCCCTCAGTGCCACACATATGTTGGTTCCTCTCTACACCACAACATGAGTCCACCTTTTGATTTCTTCCCACTAAGGTCTCACACTTGTTTGGGCCTGAATAACATTCTGTACTGAGGCAGTGGATGGGCCTGAATTCTCTCAATCCAACATGACACTGGATTCAATTGTGCCCCTGGAAATATCTGACATTTGGCCTTGGGGGTAGTGGGGGTGTGGGGTGGGGGGGGGGGGGGGAGAGTGGTGCTGAACATAGACAGGTTAGGTGGGAAGAATTGTTTCCTCTTGACAGAGGGATCAATGAGCAGGGAGCACAGATTTAAGCAAAGGGGCAGGAGGTTTGGTGGGGATGTTGGCCAAAATATTTTTTCCCTCAGAGGGGCTGGTGGGAATCTGGAACTCACTTCCCGTTGTTAGGGATCAACCAAATGCCCTCAAAATATATCCAAGAGATAGCTTAGATCCCAACTTTTATGATATTTATGGGCAAGTGTAAGGCGCTATGTTTCAGTTGTGATTTGGAAAACAAAAAATGCTGGAGTTCACAGAGGGTCAGGCAGCACCCATGGAAAGAAAGCCAGCTAGTGTTTCGAGTCTAGACAAAGCAACGTTGGCTTGCTTTCTCTCCATAGATGCTGCCTGACCCACTGTGACCTCGAACATTTTTTGTTTTTAGTTCGGATTCCAGCATCTGCAGTAATTTGCTCTTCCAGATGTTATTCCATTAAAGCCGCCAGGCTTTAAGCAAAGCACACTTCAGTCTTACTACACAGTTAAACAAAGTAATAAAAAAATTGGCCTAACTTTAACTGTTGAAATACTTAATGAAAGAACATATTATTTAACTACTACTTATCAATTGCTCCAATATTGCAACATTCTTTGGCAAAGGCAAATTTAGCAAAACATATTTTTCTCACGTGTTATCTCCCTTCTAGTCCAGGAGAAAGGAACACCGAAAGCAACAATCTAGCAGCCGAGAGACAGAACTCAAGCTTCGTGCTGCAGCAGAGAAAGAGTTGTATCTATCAGCTTCAATTCCAATAACTGAAAGCAAAAACAAAACTCCAGAGTCTGAGATAGTAGGAACTGCAGATGCTGGAGAATCCGAGACAACAAGGTGCAGGGCTGAATGAACACAGCAGGCCAAGCAGCATCATAGGAGCAGAGAGGCTGATGTTTCGGGCCTAGACCCTTCATCAGAAAAGGAGCCTGACTCCACCCGTTCATACTTCTTTTGTTGAAGAAACACATTCAGGGGGCTCGAAGCTCTGTATCCACTGCTTCTGAAGCCGACATTCCATCACTACTGTGGCAACATCACTCTGCAGGAGTGGGGCAAATCCATCTAAAAGGCGCAGTACCAACCCATGGCAAATGGTTAGAGACGGAGACAATCAAAATGTGAAAGAAATATTAAATGGTGCCAAGGCAGACTCAGCTGGCGGTAAAGAGAAAGGGATCAGAATAGTTTGGTAACCGGCACCACGGAAGGGTCTTACCACAGTGTACACCGCTGCATACATTGTGAGGGCAGAGTCCTTGCAAGGGAAGGCACGCCTGGCACTGGACACGATGCCTGGGCTCCCGGTGCAGGCGTTCTCCGAGCTGACGAATTGAGTGGACAGCTGGCAGCCCAGGGCAGTATAGTTCGGCTGGCAGACTGTCATGAAGTGCGGCGAAGGGCTGCCCGTCACCACTTGCCCAGCGTTCGCGAAGATGTCAGTGGCACACAGGCCGAATGCATAGACACCTGAGAGGAGGACAAGGCATGGTGTGAGACTTCACTGTCCACCCTCCATGCTTCTGCGCTGGCTCTCTAATGCACCGTTCACTTTTCCATGTTACCCGCCCCCTGACCCACATGCTGCAGTTAGAGAGAAAGCAAAATAGGAGGAGGCAATTCAACCCATGACTCCTGCCCTGCCCATTTAATCTGATCACACAACTCAGTCTCCTGCTCCCATTCCACCCCCCTCCCCCCGCCCCTACAATCCCTTCAGCCCTAAGAACAAAGAACAAAGAAAATTACAGCACAAGAACAGGCCCTTTGGCCCTCCAAGCCTGCGCCAATCCAGATCCTCTATGTAAACCTGTCACCTATTTTCCAAGGATCTGTATCCCTCTGCTCCCTGCCCATTCATGTATCTGTCTAGATACATCTTAAATGACGCTATTATGCCCGCCCCTACCACCTCCGCTGGCAACGCGTTCCAGGCACCCACCACCCTCTGCGTAGAGAACTTTCCACGCATATCTCCCTTAAACTTTACCCCTCTCACCTTGAAATTGTGACCCCTAGTAATTGAGTCCCCCACTCTGGGGAAAAGCTTCTTGCTATCCACCCTGTCTATACCACTCATGATTTTGTAGACCTCAATCAGGTCCCCCCTCAACCTACATCTTTCTAATGTAAATAATCCTAATCTACTCAACCTCTCTTCATAGCTAGCTCCCTCCATACCAGGCAACATCCTGGTGAACCTCCTCTGCACCCTCTCCAAAGCATCCACATCCTTTTGGTAATGTGGCGACCAGAACTGTATGCAGTATTCCAAATGTGGTTGAACCAAAGTCCTATACAACTGTAACATGACCTGCCAACTCTTGTACTCAATACCCCGTCCGAGGAATGAAAGCATGCCGTATGCCTTCTTGACCACTCTATCGACCTGCGTTGCCACCTTCAGGGTACAATGGACCTAAACACCCAGATCTCTCTGTGCACCAATTTTTTAAGAACTATATCCAACGCCTACTGGAGAACGTTCTCACACCTTCTGCCCTTGTCTGCATGAGTTTCGACCAGGTGCTTTGGTTTCCTTCCACAGGCTAAAGATGTGCAGACTAGGTGGATTAGCCATATGAAATGGAGGGTTACAGGGATAGGGTAGGGATCTGGGTGGGACGCTAGGATTCTTTGGAGGTTTGATGGGGACTTGATAGGTCAAATGGTCTGCTTCCACATTGCAGCAATTCTATGATAAAGGGAAACATTCATTTAAGTCTGAGATACAAAGCAATTTCTTCTCCCAGAGGCAAGTAAATATCTGGAATTCTCTACTGCAGAAAGGTGTGGTGGCTAGATTGATGAAAGTATTTAAAGAGGAGGGAGGACAGATTTTTGAAATATCGAGGAGTTGACGGCTAACACAAAAGAGTTGAGGCAGATCAGCCATGAAACCCATGGAATGGAGAGACAGGCTCGAGGTCTTGAATGGCCTATTCTGGTTTCTATTCCTCATGTCCTCCCACTGAAACTTTCCTCTGAGTGCAGGATTTCTTTTCAGATGCATCAATCCTAGTTGCCTCTTGGCTGTATTGAGGGAGAACCCTGTATGTGCAACAGTCAGTTGCCTGAGGGTGGAATTGAAACTGGATGCCTGGTGCAATGAGGCAGCAGCGCTAAAGACTGAACCACATACCCTCATTCAAAATTTTCTCACTAGACAGTCCTTTTTTGGACGACTCCACCAGGAGAAGGCCAGTAATGTTATAAGACATCAGAGAAGAGGTAGCCCATTGGATCTGCTCCGCCATTCAGTGAGATCTTGGCTGATCTGATCATCAGCTCCACTTTCCTGCCTTTTTGCTGTAACACCTAGATTCCCTTCCTGATTAAAAATCTGTCCATGTCAGCCTTGAATGTAATTCAGGACCCAGCCTCAACAGCCTTCAGTGATAAAGAATTCCACAGATTCACTCCCCTTTGAGAGAAGAAATTGTGAATGAGCATGAGTGGGAGTGAGTGTGGGAGTGAATGTAGGGGAGAGTGTGAGTGTAAGTGTTTGCATGGGGAAGTGCGAATGTGTGAGGATTTGTGTGTTTACCTGCTTGGGATAGTGCATGAATGTATGACTGCATGGGATAGCATGAGTGTGTGTGTGTGTGTAGTGGGGGGTGGGGGGGTGGTGGGAGTGGGGAGTTGGGGGGTGCGGTGGTTAGTGTGAGACTGGGATAATGTGTGTGTGTCCAAGTGAGATAGTGTGAATGTGTGTGTGTGTGTGTGTGGGATAGTGTGAGTGTGTGTGGGGAGGGTAGTATGTGAGTGTGTGTGAGGTAGTGTGAGTGACTGTGTCTGTGGGGCAGTGTGAGTGAATGTGTTATATGGCATAATGTGTGAGTATTTGGGATTGTGCGAATGCATGTATGGGATAGTCTTAGTGAGTGTGTGTATAAGGTAGTGTGAATGAGTGTGTGTGGGATTGTGTGAGTGCAAGTATGGGTGGGATAGTTTGAGTGTGCATGTGTGTGTGTCTGTTTGTGTGGGAGGGGTGCAGGATAGAGTAAGTGTATGTGAGACAGAGTGAGTGTGTATGTGGGACAATGAATGAGTGTGTGAGTGCAAATCCATGTGTGTGGATGAGTCTATATTCCAACCTCAGTTTTATCCTCAGCCCATCCTTAACCCTAATCCCAGACTCAATCCCAGCCCTAGGCCCATTCTCAATCACAGAGTGAGTCCCTGTCCCGGTCCCAGGCACATTTTCAACCCTAGTCCCAGCTCCATGCCCTGCCCAGCCCCAGTGCCAAACCCAATCCCCATCTCAATCCCTGCTACAGACCCAGCTCCTGCCCCAGCCCCAGACTGAACTTCTCTTTGCCCCTGGCCCAGTCCCAGCCATAGACCCAACCCTGGTTTCCTGCCCCTCTCTGTTCCCTACCCAGACTCAGACCCTTTCCCATCCACAGCCCCAGACTGAATTCCTATCCAACCCTTGCTCTAATCCCAATTCTAATCCCAGAACCAGACCCAGTTCCAGTCCAACCCAGTTTCAGTCCTAATCCCATTTCAATTCCCAGATCCTATCTCTGCCTGTGCCCCTACATCAGGCCCCAACCCAGCACTTGCCCCATCCCTTTCCAGTTCTAGCCCCAGCCTCAGACGTCTGAGACCCAGCCCAGTGAAAGCTTGTGTGTAAGACAGAGAGAATGTGTGTGTCTGTTGTCTCTGTGTGTGAGTGTATGTGTGAGGTGGTGTGAATGAGTGTGTGTCCGGGATTGTGTGAGAGAGCGTGTGTGGGATAGTGTCGGATTGTGTGAGTGAGTGGGTATGGGTGGAATAATGCATGGGTGTTTGAGTATGTGTGTGGTATAGTGTGTGTGTGGAATAATGTGTGAGAGCATGAGTGTGTGTATGTGTGCTCAGCTCAGGCTCAGTCCCTGTCTCAGCCCTGCTCTGGACCCAGCCCAACACTGTTCCCTGCCCCGACTCAGCCCCAGTCCCAACACTAGACTAGGACCCCGTCTGAGCCAAAGTCTATCCTCAAACTCGAGCTCCATTCCCAATCCAAATGAAAGTCCCATCTGCAGCCCCATTCCCAATCCCAGTGTCTGTCCCACTCCACCCCCAGACCCAGCTCCAATCCCAGTGTAAGTCCGAGCTCCAGCTCCAGCCTCAGCTCCAGTTGCAGCCCTAGCACCAGATCCTGTCCCTCTCCTTTCCCTGTGCCAGAACCAGATCCTGTCCCATCTCACACATGTTTCAGTAAGATCAGGGAAGGTGGTAAAAGAGGGGGAGGTGTGG